CACATGACACGTCCAGCATTATATTATGATTTATTTAGTTCAAGGGGGTAGCAAAGAACCACAGAGGGAAGCTCTCCCCCCCCCTCAAAAAAAGGATAGTATACGTTCTTAGGGGATCGAGTGGGCCAACTTCTCCGGCCCCCTTTATTTTCCTTCCACACCACCACCCCTTTTAAATGAGGTTCAAGTGCCCTCAACCTTCTGTGCCTCCTAGAGTCCAGTGAGCATCCTCAGTCCTCATCAGGCAATTTTTTTTTAAGTGCCTACCTTGCCTGGGAGTCCCCCATTTCACGGCCTTACTAACAGGCCCTCGACCATCAGATATGCAGTTCGAAGGGACAATGGATGATGCCTGCGTGGCTGTCCAGATCTTAGGTGCCCATCGGAGAGCCAAAATGCATGATACCGTGTGACACAAGTTGGACACAGGGGCCTGGCCTGACCTGTCCTTACACGTCAGATCAGTCTTGAAAGCGTGTTGCTCCACATAGCTCCAAGCAGGGGTCGTTTCGTAGAAAAAGAGCTAGGGGAACTCATTAGCATAACTCATTAGCATATGCCACACCCCCTGACATCACCGGAAGTGTGTCATAAGGCCACACCCCCTGACATCACCGGAAGTGTGTCATAAGGCCACACACCCCGCCCCCAACGGTCCCGGCCGCCGCCGCCGGCCTTGCAGCTCCGCGAAGGCCCTCCCTGGCCCCAGGCAGGCAGGGGTGGGGAGAGGCAGGGAGGAAGCAACTTACCCTCCCTCTTCTCCTGCCTCCTCCTGGCTGAATGAGGGTGGCCGAAAGCAGGGGGTCGGGCTTCATCATGTGCCCCGCCCCCCGTACCTCACCCAGGGGAACTGCGATCCCCCCCGAAATGACCTCTGGCTCCAAACATTGTGAAGGGGAATGAGTGGCTTCAGGCTTCTCTGCCACATTATTTTCACCACCATAAATGGCTGCGGGGAGGGGGTGTCCGCACACGTGGAGCCCGAGGAAGACACAAAGCCCTCCTCCCCCCTTGCAGCATTCGGAACTTTACAGAGCCATAGAGAGCTTTCAAAGTGAGTTACACCGATCCTACGTGTAACAATGAGTCAGGTCAGATACGTGGCAATCCAGTTTCTGTGTTTTTTTAATTCATTTACAAAATTCATATCCTGCCTCTTCTGCCCTCTCAAGGGCAACCGAGGCAGCTACCAAATTAAAACAGACACGATAAAATCACATTTTAAAACCATTAAAATCACTCCGCATAACACATATCATTAAAACCATAAAATCCAGTTTGGTGTCGTGGTTAAGTGCGCAGACTCTAATCTGGGAGAACCGGGTTTGATTCCCCACTCCTCCACTTGCACCTGGCTGGATGACCTTGGGCAAGCCGTAGTTCTGATAAGAGCTGTTCTTGAAAAAGAGCCATTTCTGTCAAGAGCTCTCTCAGCCCCACCTCCCTCCCAGGGTGTCTGTTGTGGGGAGGGGAAGGGAAAGGAGATTGTAAACTGCTCCGAGACACTTTTGGGTAGTGAAGGGTGGGGTATAAATCCAATCTCTTCTCTTCTCTCTTCTAAAAACTGAGTTAAAATATGTAGAAGATATAAAAACAGCAACTGAAATACTGTTTGGGAGGGGGGGATCACCGAGGAGATGTCAAACAAAACAAAAAGAACAAAACAAAAATCTTCACCTGCTGGCAGGGGTCATTTCGCAGAAAAAGAGGTGAAGGAGCTCATTAGCATAGCTCATTAACATACGTTATTTGCATACACCACACCCCCTGACATCACTGGAAGTGTGTCAGAAGGCAACACCCACCGCTCAGGCTCCACTGGACTGTTTTGGATTGCTAGCTATTGGGGGTGGGGGGGAACGTGCAGATCTGTCCCTCGCAGAGGAGGGAGAGCTTGTACCTGAAAAAAACTTGGTCGTAAAGGTGCCACTGGACTGTTTTGGGCCAGGGGGAGCTCTGCAACTTACCTGGCTGTTTCTTGCTCTGACTGAGGGCTGCTGGGAGCAGGGGGTTGGGGTTGTTGCATGTGCCCGCCCCCTGGGCTCTTTACTGCCGGAGCTCCGCTCCTGTGTGCTCCTGCAGGAAATGATCCCTGCCTGCTGGTAGAAGATGACACCAGAAGGGAACAGACGAATCTCCCTGGGAAGCGAGTTCCAGACTATTGCTGCTATGACTGATCCTGATCTGGATCACATGCAAATTGGGGGGCGGGGGGTACCTTGCCAGCAACCTGTTGAAATCACCCCTTGCCAGACACTTTCCCCCCAGAGACAAAGACAAATACCAAGCATGGAAGAATATGCTGGGGAAAGGGCCCTGTAGGATCTCAGAAGCTAAGCAGGGTTCATCCTAGATAGTACTTAGGGTTGCTATCCCCCCAATGAGGGTGGTGTTTCCCTGGATTTTGGGCACCCCGATCTGCCCGCTGGCCAGCTGCCGGCGGGGGGAGCCTCACCCCCGAAGAGCTCCGTGGCACCCAACGTGCCTGGTGCAATGATGTCACCCGGAGATGATGTCATCGCACTGGGCACATCGCAGGGCGGACACTCTAGCATTCAGCAAAAAACTCTATGGGGACCATAGAGTTTTTGGGGACCATAGAGTTTTTGGCCAGACTCTAGGGCGTCCCCCACTGACATGCTTCGCACAATGACATCACTTCCGGGTGACGTCGTCGTGGCGTGCACACAGGAAGACCCCAGAGAGGACTGGAGCCCCCTGACGCCAAAAGGTAGGGGACCTGGCAACCCTAATAGTAGTACTTGGATGGGAGACTGCAGGGAAAGCTCCGTGGCACTGTGCAGAGGCCGGCAATGCCAAACCACCTCTGCTTACCTCTCGCCTTGAAAACCCCACCAGGGATCACTGTAAGTCAGCTGCAATCGGATGGCACTTTCCACCCCCACCAGGATGGTGAGAGAAGGCAGGCAAACAGGGATCCTTTGGGCAGGGCCGGCTCGCTCACTAGGCGAACTAGGCGTTTGCCTAGAGCGCGCCGGCCCTTAGGGGCGCCAAACTGCACCCGCCCCCCCACCAAAAGCCCTCCCGCCATTGCATTTCCGCGGCCAGGTGACCGCTGGCGCCGCTGGTGCCTCTCGCCTCTTTGGCCGGCTAACTTCTCCCTGCCTGCTCCCTCGGCTTCCCAGCGGAGCGCTTCTCCTCCTCCTCATGGCTGAGGACGGGCAGCTGCAGCAGGAGCAGCAGGAGCAGCAGGGCTGGGGGAGCGAAGGCTTTTGAGCGCCCCCCCTTATGTCTCAAGACCTGTGTGGACATGATTCTGGTTGACCAATCAAATGTAGGATGTAAGTTAATCAACAATTTGTGTTACGAACCAGGTGACTCAATCAATTAGGTAAGATTACCAATTAGCTCTGACATTATACAGCTGTATCAGATTCCTAAGGGAAACAGTATGTTAGGAATTCCACCTTATTCAGATTCAATCAGGCAGACACCTTCCACCAACCCATAAACCTTTGTGTTAACAAGATGGAATGGTGACCTCGAAACTGCAACGACTGATGATCTAGCCAGCCTAGGCTTGCCAAGTCCCCCTGGGGGCGGGGAAACCCCCGCCCCAGAGGCCCATTCCCCGCCACTGGCGGATCGGGCCCCAGGGGGAACCCCACCCCGACGTGCACGTCACCCGGAAGTGACGCGGCCACGCCGGGCACGCTGGGGGCGGGCCCATGGTCATCTGAGGGAAAACTCTATGGTTTTCCCTTGGATGGTCGTGGCCCTGCCCCCAGCGTGCCTGGCGTCGTGACAGCACTTTCGGGTGACCAGCGTGCAGCTCGTGCGCACTCCAGCCGCCAGCCGGGAGTCCCCCGCTGCGGCTAAAAAAGCACTTGGCAACCCTACCTCCGCATGGTACAAGGCCATAGAGTCCACCCTCCAAAGCAGCCATTTCCTCCAGGGGAGCTGGTCTTTGTCAGCTGGAGACCAGTTGCAAAAGCGGGAGATCCCCAGGCCCCACCTGGAGGCTGGCAACCGTAACACCGGCAAAGAAAGCATGAGAAACTTTCCCACGATCGGCCACTCACCCCACTTTTGTCTCCACACTGCAGATAGAGGACGTGGACTTCTCGATCAGCTTCTGGAGCAGCCCGGCTCACGCAGCCGCTTGGGACCCTGCCGGTCGAGTACAGCACTCTGACTCCCTGTCCCTGCTCGAGTGGCTGGAGGGTGCAGTCTTGAACATCCACTGGGCCTAGGAAGGCAAGAAGCACAAGATCAGCCGCCTGCATAATCCCCAGATGGAGAAAGAGGACAGGCAAGTCTGACACATCTCGTTTCCAAGGTTAGGACACGGCGCTGGCATTGCCCTGGGGAAGGAATCATCGCAAAGGGAACATTTCTGTGCATGGGCAGAGTGACGGTTCAGGGCTAAGGAGGTTTCCGTACATAAATCCAATCTCTTCTTCTTCTCCTTCTCCTTCTCCTTCTCCTTCACCACCCTTGAGTCTCCAGACTAGGGAATTGGGGGGATTTTTAAATCAAGGTTCCTCTGGAATCCATTTTCTTTGGACACGGCTGCTTCCATCATAGGAGCATGCTTGGCTTGGGACCTCCTAACGTTTGTGGAACTTCCCAGTGTTTTGTGATTGAAGCTGGCCTGCCTGGCAACCCAACACCTGTTCTCAAAATTGCTCAAGTGCCTACAGGTTCAAATACTCTGCCCTAGGTAAACAACTAGGAGGTTCTGGAACTCCATCTGGCCACCATGGGTTTCTCATCTGGTCCTCTGGTAAGATGGTCATCTATCACGTTATTCTTTCCTTGGCTCTCCTCCACACACAACCCACACTGGGGGGAGAATGGATGACCGTGATCACCCAGTGAGCTTCATGGATGAGTGGGGGATCTGAACCCAGTCTCCCCGGCTGCCAACCAACTCTCTTACCACTTTATAAGTAAATCACAAAGTACAAACCTCAAATTGCCAGCCAATACCAATGAGTATAAACACACAACACTGGCCAGCAATCTCAGAGGTTTTTAATCAGTTCGGCCTAAAAGCCCTCTGAAAACTACTCTTTCAGCTTGGACACTTAAGTGCTAAGCAAGGGCTGACTGAGCCTCCAATGGAGTGAAGTCCACAGTACTGGGGCCACCCCTGAAAAGATCCTGCCATATACAACCACCCACCAGACCTCCAGTGGTGGGGGGAAATGCAAAGCAGGGCCTGTAGAGATGATCTGAGCATGCAGCTGGGTTTGCATAGTAGGAGGCATCCTATGAAGATGAAGAAGGGGGAGGAGGAGGAATAGATTGGATTTATACCCCGCCCTTCACTACCCAAAGGTGTCTCAGACCAGCTTACAAACTCCTTTCCCTCCCCCTCCCCACAACAGACACCCTGTAGGGTAGGTGGGGCTGAGAGAGCTCTGATAGAAACTGCTCTTTTTCAAGAACAGCTCTTATCAGAACTACGGCTTGCCCAAGGTCATCCAGCAGCTGCCAGTGGAGGAGTGGGGAATCAAACCCGGTTCTCCCAGAGTCCGCGCACTTAACCGCTACACCAAACTGGCTCATAAAGCATAGGGACACTACAGAATTTCACAGCTCCACCATTCAGCCTGAAAATCCCTGTTCTGATTTTGTGCCACTTGAAAATGTTCTGTTTGTCCAGGGTGACTTTTTCCTTTTAAACATATGAACATCGAACATTATTTTGCTGTATAATCTGCAGCAAAGAAAGAAGCATGCTCACAAGAGAATGCAAAAACAAAACAAGAAATGGACTATTGAAAAAGGGCCTCTCTAAAAAAGTTAAAACCAGTCCCTTGCATTGAGTCGGGAAACCTCAACTGCTTTCTTCCAAGCCAAAGGGGACTTTGTCCCTCAGTTTCCCCAGTCTCCTGACAGGTGGAAATCTCTCTCCTTCTTTTGGACCATAGTATCCTGTAAGAAATGGGAATATGACACCCTTCAGCTGGCAAAAGTGGGAAGGCACAGTTCTAGAGATTTAGAACAACACAGCTGACCACCTGGATCTATCTTTCTGGAGATTTAGTTAAAGAGCGTGTGTGTGGAGTTTCTAGCTGAGTTAGCTGAAACCAGGGGTCATTTCCTGCAGGAGCGCACAGGAGCGGAGCTCCGGCAGTAAAGAGCCCAGGGTGCGGGCACATGCAACACGCCCCACCCCCTGCTCCCAGTAGCCCTCAGTCAGAGCAAGAAGCAGCCAGGTAAGCGGCAGAGCCCCCCCTCCCCCGGTCCAAAACAGTCCAGTGGCACCTTTAAGACCAAGGTTTATTCAGGTACAAGCTCTCCCTCCTCTGTGAGGACAGATCTGCACGTGTCCCCCCCCCAATAGCTAGCGATCCAAAACAGTCCAGTGGAGCCTGAGCAGTGGGTGTTGCCTTCTGACACACTCCCAGTGATGTCAGGGGGTGTGGCATATGCAAATAAGTTATGCTAATGAGCCCCTGCACCGCTTTTTCTACGAAACGACCCCTAGCTGAAACTAATGGGGGAGGGGATGCTGCAAAAGCTACTATCTGGGAATTTGGACAATCTGGGAATTTGCTGCTTCTGGTAGGATATTCTCTGTTTGCATATTTGTGAAGAAAGCAGCCATTACAAAAGTGCTAAAAAATCTCAGGCATGCTCGCATTGAAAGGAGACCCATCCCCAAGAGCCTCGCAAAAGTGAGGAGCGTGTTAACAATGCCGATCTCCTTCCCTTTATAAAAGATTCCTCGCAACAGCAGGAAGAAATCCAACCCCCAGGAGTTCTCCATCAGTCAACACCTCGCAGCTGGCAAAATCTTTACGCTCAAAAATAAAACTTCCTCTCAATTGTCACATGAGCCCAGTGAAGTTATGCCCGAATGAAGATTTCCTGCTGCAATCAACCCTGCCCGCAACACATGATGCCTTTAGACAAACAATTGCACAGAGGAGGAAGTTACCTATCTCCAGGGAGGGTGCCCCTCCGCTGTCCTCTGCCCGGGGGTGGGGGGGAGAGGAAAGGTCTGCCACAGAGGAAATGGGAAAACCCTACACTGTGACTGAAGTCATCCACCGACTGGGGAACATGGTTTTTTGTGTTTTTTTTAAAATCAAGATGAATTTAATAAAGGGCTTTCAGGAAATACACCCCCCCACACACACTAAATGGAAAATCTGTTACTGGAAAGGTGACTGTTTACAACGGGGCAACTGGATGACAAGGACAGGAAGCACACAAAGATTAAAGACGTTTTTAAACTCTCCGTTTCCACCTTTTTCGGTCAAACAAAATGGTATGACGAACACACCCACAGGAGCGGAGCTCCGGCAGTAAGCCGAGTTGGTCTGAAGCAACAGAATGAAATTTGAGTCCAGTGGCACCTTTAAGACCAACAAAGTTTAATTCTGGGTATAAGCTTTCGTGTGCAAAATTCTGGGTATCAGCTTTCGTGGCAAATCTGTTACTGGCAAGGTGAGTATTTACAACCGGGCAACTGGATGGCAAGGGAGGGAGGTGCACAGAGATTAAAAATGTTTTTAAACTCTTCATTTTCACCTTTTCAGTAAAACAAAGGGATATGACGAACACACCCAAGAGAGATAGGTTGAGATGGGTAGCCGTGTTGATCTGAGAGAGAGAGAGAGAGAGAACGAACAAACAGGCTTATATAAATCTAACCTGATAGAATAGCAGTGACATTTGGAGAGGGGTAACTGTTAACTTAGGGGCTGCGGTGGCTCAAGTGGTTAACACACTGAACTGCAGGCTGTGGAAGGTCGGTAGTTCAGCAGTTCGAGACCCGAGTGTGCCACATGACGGAGTGAGCTCCCATCTCTGGTCCCAGCTCCTGCTAACCTAGCAGTTCGAAAGCAAGAAATTGCAAGTAGATAAATAGGTACCGCTTCGGTGGGAAGGTAACAGCGTTCCATGCGCCTTGGTGTCTAGTCACGCCGGCCACATGACCACGGAAATGTCTTTGGACAGCGCTAGTTCTTCGGCTTTGAAACGGAGAGGAGCGTCACATCCCTAGAGTCGGATTCGACTGGCTTTCAAGCAAGGGAAACCTTTACCTTTACCTAACTGTTAACTTGGGGTGTGGACTGGTATAGTGTACCTGATCTCGTCAGATTTCAGAAGCAAAACAGGGTCGGCACTTGGATGGGGGATCACCAAGGAAGACTCTGTAGAGGAAGGCAATGGCCAACCACCTCTGCTTAATAATCACTTGCCTTGCATCCCCTATGGGGTCACCAGGGGTCATTTCGTAGGAAAAGAGGGGCACACTTTCCCAAATATATTGGAATGGCAGATGAGGCTCTAAACTTACAGACAGCCAAGTTATCATGTAACACGATGATGTTTAAGTTATGCAAAGTGGAAAATCTAAATAAAGGAAGCCCTGCGAAGGCCCTCCCTGGCCCCAGGCAGGCAGGGGTGGGGAGAGGCAGGGAGGAAGCAACTTACCCTCCCTCTTCTCCTGCCTCCTCCTGGCTGAATGAGGGCCGGAAGCGGGGCGGCCGGAAGCAGGGGGCGGGGCTTCGTCATGTGCCCCGCCCCCGTACCTCACCCGGGGGAACTGCATTCCCCCGCGTTCCCCCCCGAAATGACCTCTGCGGTCTGGGCCTGGCTGCGGCAATGGCACGCGTGCCCACAGAGAGGGCTAGGGTTGCCAAGTCAAAGACCTCTGCTTTAAGGTGCCGCTGGACTTTTTATTCCACATTACTTTTAGCACCTAAAATTAAAAGCAGACAGAAGTCACCATAATAATGAATGGAGATCACTAATACATGTATGAAAAAGCAGGATGGTTTCTGTTGCAGAGTTTAGTTTTCGACAAAGTGTAAAAGGGGAACTTCATGCCCCAACGTATATTTTGTGTGATTCTTTCTTGAAACGGCTGCAGTTTTGTGGTGCTATTTTGTCAAATTATCAAATGGATCCACCTTCGATCAAGCCATTTCTGTACAGGCAGACGTTTTTCTTGTAAAGAAAATTTAATTGATCCTTAGCAGACCTATTGAGCTTTAATTGGAATGTTTTACGCATAAGAAAAAGGCACAGCGGTAGCATGAGAGACATCCCACAATTCAGTGTTGTAGGTCTCTTTGAACTTGGAGTTGGTTTTTACACCTGGCTTTTGTCTACCTTAAGGAGTCTCAAAGTACCTTACAATCGCCTTTTCTTCCTCTCCCCACAACAGTCACCTTGTGAGGCAGGTGGGCTGAAAGAGTTCTGAGAGAACTGTGACTGGCCCAA